GTTCTATTTAATCATAAGAAAGGGTCTAAGATGTCGTTTTCAGCATATGTATGCATCTTCTCAGATGGTTTTTATATTTACGCTTTGTAATCAAAATGATATGAGAAACAGAAAATGTTTGCTTTCAAATTTGAAAAAGAAAATGCAGTTATTTTTACAATATCTGATTTTCCGTTCTCGGTCTCTCCTTTTTCACGGCACTCCTAGCTTTTATTTTTCCCCCTTTTGAGTTCCTTTCCCTTTTCAGAAAATATCTTTGTTCAGGATGTTGAATTTATGCTAGAATATATTTATTGGTTTCCCTGGTTCTAGTTTGTCGTTTCCTTTTTAAAATTAAACATCCTTGGAAGTGCTTAGATCAGGGTTCTAAAAATAAAAAGTGTTAAATATTAATTCGGCAACTAGCTAGTAGCGGTGCTTTGAATACAAACATGTAAGTTTTGTGACTGCATTATAAGCTTTATACTATGTTATGATGAATTTGCTACCTTCCTTATGTTTTGTCATCTACGGATTTATTTCATGTAGTACAGCCATCATTGCAGACAGCAGCTCAATGTTACAATATAATAGCAAACATATATCAATGCCTTATAATTTTCTTCTTTTTTGACAAAGTATGCTCAATCAAGAGTCCAAAACAGATCGACGGTTCTATTGGAGAAGATGCCTTGTTTATGTGGAATACGACGGATCAAAAAGAAATCCTTGCTGTCAGCTGGGGAATAAGAAAGGGAAACATCCCCGATCCTCAGTTTATCAGTGTTAATGGATATCATGGAAGGGTCACCAAAAACAAAGATATTGGCGACACGTTAAAAAGAAGAGTAGAATTTATTGGAAACTTGAAAATAGGTCGTGCTTGGTTTGTGTTGAAGAACCTTACTGTCAATGACACTAATGAATACATTGCAAGCATCAGTGACGATGTATCATATGATATACCATATTATGTGCGCCTAACTGTTGCAAAGAAGGGTAAAGTTAAGCCATGCACTCTTTTGGGAGTAACATAACTTATCTATTTCATATAAACTTCTGATTCCTAACTTCTTATTCCCTAATCCACATAGACCGTATTCTCTTTAAGGAAAACAATACGATATACATATTATACATATTTGTTGTGAAGTGTTATCGTCAGGGTGAGTGTTGTGTTGAGAAAGACTGTTGTTGGTGGTGACTTACCTCTGGACAACCTGAGCGGGAGTCAATTTCAAAGACTTTCTCTAGTTCATGTTCATGTCTTCCTTAAGACTACACTCACCTGGATGATCACTGACTTCACAGCAAACATCAACGCCTGGGTTCAATATAACGAAGCAAAATGTAGTCTTTGTAGTATTTCGACAACCATGCGAAACGTTGGTTATATTTTTAGGCAACTTCATAACTTTGTTTTTAATAATAGCAATAATAATAATAATAATAATAATAAATTGATAGATAGTTTATGATACAACAGATGGTAATGGGCCATCGATATCAACCAACACTATCTGTTTTGATCAAAACCTAGCCCCATGTAGTGATGCATGACCTTATCTAACCACAAAATGTTAATAGCAAATTAGTTAGAATATAAACCATCTTGCGATTAGCCCAAACACCTGGTAACTATAACCACATGGATCCCGCGCGATATATTTTTGATTATTATGTTTTCAGTAACACCAACAGAAAGACCTTCTCCAACCCCAGTCACTACAGCTGCTGCTCCGAACATTATAAGTAAGGCTTTGATAGCTTCAGCATAAATAAAAAACTGGACTACTGATATACGGTTATCACATACATACAATATCATATTTATTTCAATACTACATGCAAGCGTATTTGAAACCTATAGTTGTCGTATTTAGAATGTTCTATTACTAATAAATAATTAGTTCTTAATATTGTCATTTTATATCATTTTTAAAATGGACATGAGCTTCTTTTTTTATCTTAGTCTTTACTCTGCATCTTTATAATATTTTACTTTTCTTTATTCCAGATAAATAGTGAAAAATAGGTGTTTTTGCATCAGTCCCTTAATTTTGTTAGTATTGCATAAATAATTTAACAATTTGGCAGGCTGGAGTCAGTGACAGCTATACGGTAGAAAAGAGAGACAGAGAGAGAAAGAGAGAGAGAGAGAGACAGAGAGGGAGAGGGAGAGAGATCAACAGTCTGAATAAACGCACAATATAATATAATTGTGTAACCTATTCTATTTCTTTTATTATTGATATAGGAGCTTCGACAACTAAAACTACTACAAGTTCGAACATTACAAGTAAGTTCACTAATAAGTAATCATGTTATATTAATAAGTAGTAGCATTCAAATTTATAACATTTCAAGTATATAACTAGATATAGTTCTATACTATATACTTGGTTAATAGAAGTACTAGACAAGGGCTGATCCAGCCAAAATTGTAGGGGGGGGGGGGGGGGGGGTGGCAATTGAGTCTCTTCCGTCAACACAACGGAAAACAATATACAAAAGAACCTTTTTTTGCTGCTGGATCCGCCCTTGCTAGACTACTACTAGTAGTCCTCGTCAACTTAGTGAATTCACGTTCAATTGCATAGAGTAAACTATTGACTAAGATAATATTGATGCTAAGCTCTTGTCTCGAGAGGCCTATTGGGCCACGCAGTTACGTACGTTACGTCCCAATTCAATGGCCTCCACAAGAGACAAGAATTTAAATCAAAACGTATAATTCAGTTTTCATTCTAATGTTTTTTCTACATTACAATAGACTGCTGCAACCTTTCTTGTTATTCCATTCTTCATGGTGGTTGCACCTTTTTCACTTTTGTTTCTTTATTTCATTATCTTACAAAAGGCTGATGTAGCCCGTGGTCCATGCTTTTCGTCTGAATTTACTGGTTACATCCTCCTTTTGTTCTTATGCCCTTTATATACTAGCTGTTTGGCTATTCATTCTTTACTTTTTTACTTTTTATCCTGTATATATCTGTATTTTTTCTGAAGAAGGCCGAATGGCCGAAACGTTAAATACAATTTTTGGAGCAGTTAGAAGTTGCCTGTTTTCTCTTTTTACTTTTTTAATTCAACAGACTGTTGAATTCTTCTGACTGAAGAATCTGTGAATCAATTTTCCGTAAAAAAGTACTCAATACATCCATAGAGGTAGAGCAGAATATTTGTTTGCGAAGGAAAAGTCAAGATAACATTTTTCCCGACAAGCCTGTTTCGTGAATATATATATATATATTCACTATATTCATTATAAATGAATAAATGAATAAATGAATAACTACTACTACTACCACTACTACTACTACTGATGCTGCTGCTGCTACTACTACTACTACTATATTATATATATTTGATTATATATTGAACTTTTGATTAACATAACTATTTCTCTTTTAAGCACCACCCAAACCGAACTCGTCAAACATACAAAGGCACATTAAGGGTTACATAATATTAATGGATATTGCACTGGTCATGTGGCACTTAAATTTAGGTAAAGGTCGCACTTAATATTAAAAATAATACTTATCGATATTTATTACAACTTGGATTTGACTAATTTCATTCATTACTACTTCAACTGCAAGATTTAAAAACTTTTTTATTTTATTTTATTTTCCAGGGTCTTTGTTCTCAACGAAAAGACCAAGAGAGTCAGAAACTCCCTAAACTGCAATTATGTTGTTGTTAGTGCGTGGGGGAATATAGAAATCACCAGAGGGTGTGTATAGACATTGAAGGATTACTGCAGTTCTTAACAGGGGTTGAACAAAATTACTTTGCGATGGCTTTAGCAGTAATTAAAACTTCGTTATGCGTGCTTGGAGGAAATGGAAACCAAAATTTTTTTTAGATATATAAATATATATGCATATTTAACCTATGCATTTAAACTGAGTGGATGTTGCAATAGACCCCTCATGGAGTTTCAAACTTAAACTACCTCAAAACCTTTTAGGGTACCAAGAAAATAGTGACATTTTGTGTAACAAAAAGCTACTGAAGAGGATTTTGGTTGTGTGAGGTCTGAGGGGTCATAATACTCAGGTCTATTGCTTTGCACGAGTGAAATATTCAAGATGAGAAATAAACCAAAGTACAAATCAGAATCCGAAATGAAAAATGAAACCATAAGCAAAGCAACGTGGAAATAAATAAGCAAAAA